CCTGACAAATCCTCCTGTCTCGCAGTAATCTGTCCATCTTTTGGAATGCATCCTTGGCCATCTCACTCCATCCTCAGACTTACCGTCCTCTGTCAAAACACTTCCCAGACATTTAAACTTCTGCACCTGCTTGATTCTAGTGTCCCCGATCTCCCAATCGCATTTCGGGCTCATCCTTTTACTGATGACCATGCATTCTGTTTTCTTGTAGTTTACGGTTAATACTTTCTTCTCGCTCTCCTTTAATACCTTCTGTAGAAGGTTTTTGTTATGGCGGGTGATTTTTTTTTCCTACGTATGAGTACGAATTCCTGGTCGCCAAATTTGTTATGTGGCGAACGAATTTTTTTTCCTCCGTATGAGTACGAATTCTAGTGACCAAATTTGTTATGGCGGGTGAATATTTTTTTCTCTTCCACCGTATGAATCCGTATACCTCGTCGCCAAGTGTGTTATGGCGGGTGAATTTTTTTTTCTCTTCCACCGTATGAATCCGTATACCTCGTCGCCAAGTGTGTTATGGCGGGTGAATTTTTTTCTCTTCCACCGTATGAATCCGAATACCTCGTCGCCAACTGTGTTATGGCGGGTGAATTTTTTCTCTTCCACCGTATGAATCCGTATACCTCGTCGCCAACTGTGTTATGGCGGGTGAATTTTTTCTCTTCCACCGTATGAATCCGTATACCTCGTCGCCAACTGTGTTATGGCGGGTGAATTTTTTCTCTTCCACCGTATGAATCCGTATACCTCGTCGCCAACTGTGTTATGGCGGGTGAATTTTTCTCTTCCACCGTATGAATCCGTATACCTCGTCGCCAACTGTGTTATGGCGGGTGAATTTTTTTTCTCTTCCACCGTATGAATCCGTATACCTCGTCGCCAACTGTGTTATGGCGGGTGAATTTTTTCTCTTCCACCGTATGAATCCGAATACCTCGTCGCCAAGTGTGTTATGGCGGGTGAATTTTTTCTCTTCCACCGTATGAATCCGTATACCTCGTCGCCAACTGTGTTATGGCGGGTGAAATTTTTTTCTCTTCCACCGTATGAATCCGAATACCTCGTCGCCAAGTGTGTTATGGCGGGTGAATTTTTTTCTCTTCCACCGTATGAATCCGAATACCTCGTCGCCAACTGTGTTATGGCGGGTGAATTTTTCTCTTCCACCGTATGAATCCGAATACCTCGTCGCCAAGTGTGTTATGGCGGGTGAATTTTTTTTCTCTTCCACCGTATGAATCCGTATACCTCGTCGCCAACTGTGTTATGGCGGGTGAATTTTTTCTCTTCCACCGTATGAATCCGAATACCTCGTCGCCAAGTGTGTTATGGCGGGTGAATTTTTTTCTTCCACCGTATGAATCCGAATACCTCGTCGCCAACTGTGTTATGGCGGGTGAATTTTTTTTCTCTTCCACCGTATGAATCCGAATACCTCGTCGCCAACTGTGTTATGGCGGGTGAATTTTTTCTCTTCCACCGTATGAATCCGAATACCTCGTCGCCAAGTGTGTTATGGCGGGTGAATTTTTTCTCTTCCACCGTATGAATCGAATACCTCGTCGCCAAGTGTGTTATGGCGGGTGAATTTTTTCTCTTCCACCCGTATGAATCCGAATACCTCGTCGCCAAGTGTGTTATGGCGGGTGAATTTTTTTCTCTTCCACCGTATGAATCGAATACCTCGTCGCCAAGTGTGTTATGGCGGGTGAATTTTTTCTCTTCCACCGTATGAATCCGAATACCTCGTCGCCAAGTGTGTTATGGCGGGTGAATTTTTTCTCTTCCACCGTATGAATCCGAATACCTCGTCGCCAAGTGTGTTATGGCGGGTGAATTTTTTTCTCTTCCACCGTATGAATCCGAATACCTCGTCGCCAAGTGTGTTATGGCGGGTGAATTTTTTCTCTTCCACCGTATGAATCGGAATACCTCGTCGCCAAGTGTGTTATGGCGGGTGAATTTTTTCTCTTCCACCGTATGAATCCGTATACCTCGTCGCCAACTGTGTTATGGCGGATGAATTTTTTTTCTCTTCCACCGTATGAATCCGAATACCTCGTCGCCAAGTGTGTTATGGCGGGTGAATTTTTTTTTCTCTTCCACCGTATGAATCCGTATACCTCGTCGCCAACTGTGTTATGGCGGGTGAATTTTTTTTTCTCTTCCACCGTATGAATCCGAATACCTCGTCGCCAAGTGTGTTATGGCGGGTGAATAATTTTTCTCTTCCACCGTATGAATCCGTATACCTCGTCGCCAAGTGTGTTATGGCGGGTGAATTTTTTTTTCTCTTCCACCGTATGAATCCGTATACCTCGTCGCCAACTGTGTTATGGCGGGTGAATTTTTTTTCTCTTCCACCGTATGAATCCGAATACCTCGTCGCCAAGTGTGTTATGGCGGGTGAATTTTTCTCTTCCACCGTATGAATCCGAATACCTCGTCGCCAAGTGTGTTATGGCGGGTGAATTTTTCTTCCACCGTATGAATCCGTATACCTCGTCGCCAACTGTGTTATGGCGGGTGAATTTTTTCTCTTCCACCGTATGAATCCGAATACCTCGTCGCCAAGTGTGTTATGGCGGGTGAATTTTTTTCTCTTCCACCGTATGAATCCGAATACCTCGTCGCCAACTTGTGAATTACCTCGGCGGGTGGGTTTTTTTCTCTTCCACCGTATGAATCCGAATACCTCGTCGCCAACTGTGTTATGGCGGGTGAATTTTTTCTCTTCCACCGTATGAATCCGAATACCTCGTCGCCAAGTGTGTTATGGCAGGTGAATTTTTTTTCTCTTCCACCGTATGAATCCGAATACCTCGTCGCCAACTGTGTTATGGCGGGTGAATTTTTTCTCTTCCACCGTATGAATCCGAATACCTCGTCGCCAAGTGTGTTATGGCGGGTGAATTTTTTCTCTTCCGTATGAATCCGAATACCTCGTCGCCAACTGTGTTATGGCGGGTGAATTTTTTCTCTTCCACCGTATGAATCCGAATACCTCGTCGCCAACTGTGTTATGGCGGGTGAATTTTCTCTTCCACCGTATGAATCCGTATACCTCGTCGCCAACTGTGTTATGGCGGGTGAATTTTTCTCTTCCACCGTATGAATCCGAATACCTCGTCGCCAAGTGTGTTATGGCGGGTGAATTTTTCTCTTCCACCGTATGAATCCGTATACCTCGTCGCCAACTGTGTTATGGCGGGTGAATTTTTTCTCTTCCACCGTATGAATCCGAATACCTCGTCGCCAACTGTGTTATGGCGGGTGAATTTTTTTTTCTCTTCCACCGTATGAATCCGAATACCTCGTCGCCAAGTGTGTTATGGCGGGTGAATTTTTCTCTTCCACCGTATGAATCCGAATACCTCGTCGCCAAGTGTGTTATGGCGGGTGAATTTTTCTCTTCCACCGTATGAATCCGTATACCTCGTCGCCAACTGTGTTATGGCGGGTGAATTTTTCTCTTCCACCGTATGAATCCGAATACCTCGTCGCCAAGTGTGTTATGGCGGGTGAATTTTCTCTTCCACCGTATGAATCGAATACCTCGTCGCCAACTGTGTTATGGCGGGTGAATTTTTTTCTCTTCCACCGTATGAATCCGAATACCTCGTCGCCAAGTGTGTTATGGCGGGTGAATTTTTCTCTTCCACCGTATGAATCCGTATACCTCGTCGCCAACTGTGTTATGGCAGGTGAATTTTTTTCTCTTCCACCGTATGAATCGAATACCTCGTCGCCAAGTGTGTTATGGCGGGTGAATTTTTCTCTTCCACCGTATGAATCCGAATACCTCGTCGCCAACTGTGTTATGGCGG